TGGAATGATTAAATGTTAGAGCCATGGCTATGAATTTGAATCTTTTTATCTACCTAAACTATAAAATTAGGTGCTAATACTTAAATATCTTAAAAAATGATTGTTAGTATCTCCTTTGCGACATGCTTATGTCAAATCCTAGGTATAGAAATTTTTTCTCTTGCTCCATTTTTGTTTATAACAGTCTTGAAAGTATATAATTCAGTGGTTTTAGTATATTCACATAGTGTGCAACCATCACCACTAATTTTAGAATATTGTTTTCATTTAATATTTTTTACTTGTACTGACCTTAAAACTCTTAAATAATGTTGATAGTACCTTTATTTTTTTGTTGACTAAGCTTTTATTTTTCTGTTGTATTTAGAACATTTTTGTAATTCTAAAAGAAACTCCAAGTGCATCAGCAGCCACTCCCATAACTACTGGCAACCACCTGTCTTCTTTCTGTCTGTACGCTGGCCATTTCTACAAATGGAGTCGAACAACTGATGGCCTTTTGTGTCTGGCGTCTTTCACTTAGCGTAATGTTTTCAGGGTTCATCCATGTTGTAGCATGTATTAGAACTTCATTCCTTTTTATGTCCAAATGATATTTTGTTACTATGGATTGGCCACATTTTCTTTATCATCACTTTGTAGACATTTAGCTTTCCATTGAGGCTGTTACGAATAATGCTACCATGAATATTTGAGTACAGGTTTTTATGTGGATATGTTTTCAATTCTTTGAGTATATACCTAAGAGTGAAATTAGTATAGAATCTTTAGTTGATAAGGCAAAGAATTTTTACCTCAAAGCAGAGAGTTCTCACAGTGAGAGAACTAAGATTTCTAACAAGTAGGGTGTTCCCTTCTATGTTGGTTCCATAAGATTGAAATTCTTTGCACTGGACCTCACAGAGCACTGTGCTCCCAGTCAATGGAAACCAACAGAAAAGCAAGAGCCTGTGATCAGAAAGGATCAGAAACAGTACAAATGCCTCCATATAATTAAAGGGTGCTTTCATTAGCATAGGGTAATAAAATAACCCCCACATCTCAGTAATTTATTCTCACCAAAGTATTCATTTCATTCACTTAAATACGAGGTGTACTGCAAGATCAGAAAGGGAAACCTCTCCTATGGGGATGCAAATTAAGGAAAAGTTATATTAATGTGAACACATTTCAAAAGTATCCTATCCCATGCTCTGGAGTGTGAGTCTTTAGAGTGAGAGTGACTCCCTTCCCAGGCCAAACTGAACTGAAAGGGAGAAAAGAGGGATCTGGAAAAGCTTATGGAGTATTTACATTCAGCTCAGAAGCAGGTTTCAAACACTGCCTTTATCTTCATAGAAAGCCATGGCAAAGAAAAAAAATGTCTCTGAGGTAGCCTTGGCATTGAGCATCATATGATCAGTCCTACAGAGGTCACTAATCACTTTCTCTTTTTTCTTTTTCCAGTGAACGAGATCATTGGAAGAGACATGTCCCAGGTTTCGGCTTCCCAAGGAACAGGGGTGAGCAGGCAGGCTCCCCTCCCTGGTCCCGATTCCCTGGATTTAGGAAGATCTGACGGGGTCTGACTGTGCGGTCTGACTGTGCTCGCTACAACCTTGCCTCCACCACCACCATGTACTTCTCGCATGTTTCTCTCCTCGGACCTTGGGTTCCAACTCTGTGGCCTTAGGGACTGGCACCAGGTGACAAGTTTGTGGGGAAAGCAGCATTCCTCCACCTCAGGCCTTGGGTAGATTTTGTAAAAGAACAGGAGCAGCATAGGTTGTTTGAGCTTTGGGGGACTGAGCTTTGCTTTTTATTTTTGAATAGGATACTTTTATATGATGGGTGCTTTGAGTGTGAATGCAGCAGGCTCTTCATTTCAGAGGTGCTGCTTTTTCAGGTGACTTGGTTGCTTAGCTAGGACTGGTGATTTGTACTGCTTTATGGTCATTTGAAGGACCCTTTAGCTTTAACAACATTTTTAAAATAGAAACTTTTGATAAAACCTAGAGTTAAACATAAAAGACAAAAATTCTCCCAAGCCCACACCCAGGCCTCAGAAACTCAGCATGTGTCCTGAAGCCTTTCATAGATTCATAGGAAATAAAGCCAAATATAGCTCATACCTCTTTATTAAAAGTAAACTGTTAGATAAAATAAGAGACCATTCCAATCATTGAAGTATTGGAATATAAAATGACATTCCAGAGCATAGTCTTTTTGTAACTTTCTAGGTAATTTTCCTGCAGCCTCTCCATTCTGCCTCCATGCTGAAATTGCTTTTCCCCCCTCAGGGCCTTAGGTAAGATGGCTACTTATAAGATGACTTTGAAAGGTGAGCTTTTAGTTTGGTAGCTTTCATTTCCTGCCATCCTACTAACAAGTGCTCTTCCCCTTCTTGCCCTTTCCCAAGTGGGAGCATTAGCATTTGGCTACTCTGTAACCTTTGAAGCCAGTCTCAGGATGGTTTAAGCAACTTTACTGGTTCTAACTCATCTCCAGGGGCCAGGTTGTGTTCAGGAGCTAAGCACAAATGAGCTATGCTTCAGAACAGCACCAGAGAAAATGCAGGGCTCTAGATAGCAAGTTTTTAAGATTCACACTGGCATAGAAGGCTTATCCCTCATTCTGTTTACAGCCTAAAATGATTCTGGCCTACCCTGTTCCATCTGCACAGCCTGAAAACCAGCCTTTTCCCAAAAAGGCTTTGAGGCAAATCCAAAAATGAGGTAGCATCAGACTTGACCCTCCAGACCAAAGATGCCATGGTGCTGCTGCAGGAGAGGCTGGCACTCAAGGCAGGGGCCAGCAACAAACTCCAGCCTGCTGTCTACCAAAGGAGGTGCCCAATTTGGGTGCTTTTTCCCAGTTCCACCCTTACCCCTCCCATTAATGGGTTAAGTTACCTGGTCCAAAGCCTGGGCATGTTTCAAAGTTCCTAAAGTTTGCAGTGTTTTCAGATGAAATGATATACTTTCATTTATTCAGAAAGCATTTTTTTGAGTGCCTACATATGAGACAGTATGCTGGGCTGGTCAAAGGTTTGATGCTGTTATTCCAGGGGATTGTGGTTAGATGCCAGGATTCTCTACTAAAGCCAGGTGAGTCCTGGGCAGAGGGAGCCAGCTCATTGCCCGCCACCTATAGCCAGGTAGGAGCTGTTGACCCAGAATGAGTAAGTATGGTCTTTTTTTTCCCCCTTTAAACCATGTTTTAGATTTTTTTCCTTAAAATTAGTTAAGAAAAGAAAAGCACTCTGGTCCCTTTCGGACTGAGTGTTTTCATATTTCCTTTGAAAGTGAGTTTTGTGTCAGTGTTGATAGATTTTTCGGGGCTGTGGTTGGAAGCCCACAGCTTCCTTTGGTAAGTTCCAAAGAGCTGGCCAGACTTGCCTCCACCTTCTTGCCCCTGGTGTAGCTGCCTCACGTGGGTTTCTTGCAAAAGTTCCCCTTGCAAGATCCATTGGAGGTTGCTCTGCTCTGTCCTCAAAATCTGTGATCCAGAGTTGCTATGCACCAAATTTTGATGCCTTTTAAATACCTTGATGCCTGTAGCACTAGAAATGCTTTCCTATTTAAAATAAAAGTTAAATTTTAAAATAGAGCTTTGTATACTATGTAAGCAGTTTTGTATCAGCTTTGTAAAAGCTTTGGTGTTAAGAGTCAATATTTTTTGGCCTTGTAGATAAAGACATTTTTTGTGTAACATAGATTTTAAAGCACACATCCATTGGACTATGCAAATTGAGTTCTAGTAACAGCACTGAGCAGCTGGGTATGCGCTAGCACCAGTCCCTTTCCCCTCCAGCCCATGCAAGATCCGGGTTGAGGAGTGGGATGAGCAGCCTTCTGCTTACTGGAGATGCAGAAACATTGCTGAAAACGGCTCTAAAAGAAACACCTGTCTCCAGGATCACACGTGGTGCTGCTGCCTGGGGTGCAGCCCACTGCTGCCCAGGGCTAGTCACTTTCATCAGAGTTCTGCTGGATCTGCCTGTGAAACTGTTTTTGATACTCAGATGGTTATGTTTAAGACTCAAGTTGAAACCTTGTATTTTAAAAAATGAATGATGTTCAGTTAAGGAACTGGTTCTCAGTTATGTTTACAGCACTCGGGATTGTGTTTTCTTGTACATTTTGTATTTTAGAACCTTTTATAGGAGTACAGTGCTCCTTACACAAATACAAAGGGAAGAGCCAGCAATTCAGGCTCCTCGGTTACAGTGGTGAAGTAATAAACGATGACAGGTCAAGAGTCTCCTTGAAATCTGCCTGAGTTTTCCTCCACTTGGGGCTGGTGTGGAGCCCCTCACTCTGGGGGCCAAAGCTAAGGGTACTTTGGCTTTTTATTAAAAAGTCCATGTGGTCAGGAACCTTTGTATATTTCATGGAGAGGGTAGAGTTCCAAGTTCCTTCTGATGCTTCAGTTCTGCACCTTCTCATGGGTGCAAAGGACATTCTATGGTGTCTGCTGACTTCAGGACAACTGGCCTGCCCAAAGTATGCACAAAAAGGCAAAGTCCCCTTTAAAAGTAGAGCCTGAGTTTTTGTGTGAGGGCCTCCTGCCCCCTAGTGTCCTTTGGGGGTACTGCAGTACAGTCCATCAAAACAGCTTGTGGTTTTGCCATGTGATACTCCTTGTGCTGAGCTGGAGGGGCTACCACCCTTAGGTTGGTACCACCCCTGGCACAATGTGGCCACTGAGGTCCAAGTATCCTGGGGGCTGGAGCAGACGTTTTCTTTTTCTCTGGTCCCCCACCACTGGGCTTGTGTTTTTAAAAAGTCAAACCTGCTGTAGACGTCAGCCCCACAGCATCTGTGGGCATGGGCCGTATCTAGGACTGACCAAAGGTTCTCTGGATGCTACTCACAAGGCCCAGATTAGGCCATCGGGAGCAGGGTAGCACCATTCCACCCCAAGCCCTGCATGCAGGATTCAGCCATCATCTTTGGGGTGAACAGCAAAACAGTAAGTGGGAGATAGAGCTAGGGCTTGAATTCCTCTGAGTGCTTTCAGCAGGAAGCCACCAGGTTGAGGGCACTGCTTCTCTGGACACAGGAGAGACATGGTAGCTGAGGACGTCAGCCAGCTCTTACCTTCTGACGCCCTCACCTACAAACACACCCATTCTTTGGAGGCCTGTAGTACAGTGCGAGATGGGTCACCAACAGGCATCAGGCTGGTATAGTCCTCAGGGACTAGCTGCAGAAAGGACAGAGATTTAGGGCAGGGAGCTCTAGGCTCAGCCAGGTCCCCAAACCCTCCAATCACAGCTCACCTGGTAGGCCTGAAAGACGCTGAGCAGATCCTTCATACCAGCTGTGTATGGGACACCCTGCATACGGACCAGGGCGCCTGGCTGGGACAACACTGAGGTAGGAGCAGAGGCCAGGGCGGCAGAGGGCGTGGTGAGGTAGCCCACAGTGGTGGGAGAGACTGGGGGGCTAGGGTAGGAAAGGCTGGGTTTTAGTATTTTAGTCCCACCTACAGCCTAGACCAAAATCTGCTTCTTCCTTCCCTTGCTTCTGCTTTATGCTTAGTTCAGTTCTTCCTCCCTAAAATCATGGCCTCTACATCATCTCTATACCCATTTGTAGAGAGCATTAGCCAGCCACACTTTTCACTCCCGGCCCAGGAGGGGGATAAAGATCCTTCAAACCAGAACAGGGGGCAACTTTATGCAGTTTCTCAGCAGCAGGTACCTGGGGTAGTAAGCTGTGTAGTTCATGTAGAGCTGAGTGGCTGGCCCTGGGTAGTAGGCAACAGGGGTGGGGGCAGCAGGCACCCTGGTAGCCGGGATCAGTGCCGAAGAAGGATAGAGAGCTGCCGTCTCAGTGGGAATGAGTGTTGGGGTGGCCTGGAAGGTGGCATAGGCTGGTGGTGAGAGGCCTAGAGGCAAAAGTAGAAAGCACATCTGCAGGGAGCCTGGCACTGTCCAGGGTGGGGCAGCCAGAAAGAAGTTCCCACTGAAGAAAGGGAGGGTTATGACAGCCTGGGATCTGCATGTCTCCTTCTTCCCCAGCCCTGGGACACTTACAAGGCAGCTTACAGGGTGGAGGGGACATGCCACTGCGGCCCAAAGTGCCCCCCATTAGCACACGGCTCATCTCTTCTGTGGAGCAGGGGACCACTTCCACATAGCGTTCCTTCATCATTTTTTTATGGCACCGCTGAGCAGCAGCTAAGGCCCGCTCTGCTGACGTCATCTGGATGAAGGCATCGCCTGATGGCCGACCCTGTACACACCATATTATAAATTAGCCCTGATAACAAGAATATATTAATCCCAACCACACAGTCCTCCCTAATCATGTGTGTCCCCCTACTGGCAGCAGCCTCACCTGCTGGTTGAGCACCATGTGCACACCGTGGGGCCGGATGTCAGCTGCTGCCTCCCCGAGAAAGCTCAGGATGTCTTCGATGGTGGCTGTGTAGGGCAGGCCTCGAAGGCGCACACAGTCTCTCCCAGTCCCAGCTGCCAGTGGGAAGGGAATGGGCAGCAATGGAGCAGTCATTGTGGGAAGGAGTGGGCTGGATGCGTAACGGTTCAAGACCTAGGAAGGAAGGCAGCAACAGGCTGGTCATGACGAGTAGGGTGGGGACACAGGTGATGGCAGGGGCACCCTGGAAAAGCACGTGGGATGGGGCAGCCCTTGGTGCTCACCTGCTGCACCTCGGCTGCAGTGCTCCGGAAGAGTTCAATGTATCGCTTACCCAGCATGCCCTTGTGCCTGCGCAGGGCAGCCTGTGCCAGCTCCTCACAGGCAAAGAGTGCAAAGGCATCACCTGTGGGCCGGCCATCAGGGTGGCGTACAAAGAGCAGCCCATCGGCACCCCCAGTCACTGGGCACTCTGGCCCCAGGAATTCTAACACGTCTGCTGGCCCAGCAGAGAAGGGCAGTCCTCGAAGCCGCAGGATCACTTGGTCTTCCATTGACAGGAAACGCGCCACCTCTAGTGATGTGCCTTAGTGGGAGGAATGGGAGTCACTACTGACTTCATTCATGCCCTTCCAACTACCCATCCACACCCGGCACACAGGAGAGCAGAAAGGCAAGGGGTGGTGAAGTGGGACATGGGTCAAGAACCAGGGGGAGGTAGGCACTGCTGGGGGCGCAACTCACCCCCTGCGATCTTTACAAACTCCTCTCCTGTTGCTTTATATACCTGTGGGAATAGTGGGGATGGTCTATGGGTCTCAGGCCTGGCTGGCCTCAGCTCTGCACTGCTCCACTCCCAGCCCAAATCCCCACCTCGATATAGCGGACACCCATGTGGTGCTTGTGTCTCTGCAACGCTAGGTCCCGCTGCTCGCTGTCCACAAAGCGGATGAGGGCCTCGCCATTTCTGCGGCCCTGGGCATTGAGGCAGAGTGCTACACCACCCCTGTGGAGCCAGTGCTATGTTAGTGCCTCCTGGGTAGGCCCGTCCTCCTGGGCCCACCCATCCTGCTGCACCCACCTGGCAATGTTGAGCCCTTTGAAGAAGCGAGCCACGTCCTGGTCTGATGACTGCCAGGGCAGCCCCCGGGCACGAACCACGGTCTCACTGTCCACCACATCAGCCTTGCTGCTATGGGAGGAGGGCCCAGGGTCAGAGCTGTCCAGCTGCTGGCACCCCACCCCTGCCCTGCACTCACCAAGGTCCTGTTTCATATTTCTGCTTTATCACCTCGGGCTTCGAAAACAATTCACCTAAGAGGAGATAGCATGGGGTCAGCAAGGTCTGGTGGAGGGGGTCTCCCCACCAAAGTCTATGAATAGAGCCACACCTGGCTGATGTGGCTCAGTGGATTGAGCGCCAGCCTGTGAACTGAAAGGTTGTCAGTTCAATTCCCAGTCAGTGCACGTGCCTGGGTTGCAGGCCAGGTTCTGGTTGGGTGCTTTGTGAGAGGCAACCGATATCTCACACACTGATGTTTCTCTCCCTTTCTTCCTCCCATCCCCTCTGTCTGAAAGTCAATAAATATTTTTTTTTAAAAAGGCATTTGAGCCCTGGCTGGTGTAGCTCAGTGGATTGAGCACGGGCCTGCAAACCAGAGGATCATGGTTTGATTCCCAGTCAGGGCGCATGCCTGCGTTGCAGGCCAGTTTCCAGCAGAGGACTCATGAGAGCAACCATACCTTGGTATTCTCTCCCTCTCTCCTTCCCTTCCCCTCTAAAGATAAATAAATCTTAAAAAAAAAAAAAAGGCAGTTGAAGAGGATGAGTTGACAAAGGGGCTTCTACCTTACGGTCTTTCAGAGAGGGTAAGAGGTGGGGAAGGGGCCTTTGAGGATTTACCAGGCAGGCATTCACCCAAGACCCGAGGGAACAGGTGACAGGTGGTGAGGGGAACCTTACCACTGGGACCTTCGAGCAGGTGGAGGATGACAGCTACCATTGTCTTCACTTCCCAGACCCCAAAGTCATCTTCTGTGGCATCTGTCTCCAGCCCCAGTTCTGAGAGCAGGGAAACAACAATGAGGAAATCAAATCCCAGGGTGAGAGGCCCTGGGGCAACCAGCATGAGCCCTGTGCCGGGTCCCACGGAGGCCCAAGTCCCTTATGTGAGCAGACACACGTGGAATCCCCACAAGCACGTTGGTTTGGGCCTTGCTCACGTATGCCCTTACAGATCCCCCAGCCCACATACATGCAGACATATGCCACACTCCAAATGCACCCCGACAGACATGCATTTCAGGCACTTAAGCAGCAGAGGTTGCCAATTGTGTGTGTTCCTAGAACCCACCAACATGCACACACTCCGACACAGCCTGCTGCTGCCCCTCCACCCTGACCCCACTGGGTCACAGGTACCCTGTGCCATGGTGGCCACGGTGAGGTCCCTGGCAAGGCGGGTGCTTGGGTGCTGCACATGGAACTCTCTGCGGAGGTCGTAGAAGGAGAAGAAGGTGTCGGGGAGCACCAGGTTCTGGGGACACACGTGAGTGGGGATGAATGGGCGAAACTGAGCTGCCCTGCCCACCCTCGTGACAACGGGTGTCCTGGGAACCCTGCCCCCTACTGTGCCCTCAGTGGCATACCTTCCTGGAGGCCTCAGGGTGCAGGACCTGTCGTAGTAGCTGCTGCCCATCAGTGCAGAGCACATAGGGGCCCCCACTCAGCAGAGCTATGTCCCCACTCACCAGCTGTGAGAACTGGGGAGAGAGAAAGACAGACTCAGCTGGGCAGGCAGGAAGAAAGAGGGCACAGACTGCAAAGCTGGTTCAGCCAGATGTTCAGCCCTACCCTGTTTGGGGAGTAGGTGGCCACACCTGTTGGGCCTGGCTCTGTGTTCCCCTTCTCCCCCAAGTCCACTATCACCTTCTGCAGGCCAAATGGGGGCAGTTACATATCACCCAAGCCCCCATCACACACACTCCAGGAGTCTGGAGTGAGGCCAGAGCAAACACCTGGCAGAGTGAGACAAGCAGGTGAAAAGGGGTGGGGTGGTGGGGGAAGCAGGTTAAACCTGTCCCTGACCAAGCACCACCCTCAGAAAGGTGGGAGAGGCCCAGTCCTGCCTGAGGCCCATCCGGCTCATGGTCAATGGCAGCCCCGCCTCTAGGTCTGACCAACCCAGGGGCAGAGAAATTCCAAGGACAGAACTCCACACCTGGGCGCCAGGGGCAGCATGAGCTTTGACCCACACCCTATCGACCGGCTGGCACTGAGTTGTTTGTTCACAGAGGGGGTGGCACTCTTCAAGCTGCCCAGCCCCTCCCCCAGCTTCCACTGCTGCTGGAGAACAGGTATAAGCACCAAGCACAGCCCCAAGAACCACCCCCCCACACACCAACCTCACTCCTGGGACTGGCAGAGCAACGCAACCCAGCTCTCCCTCAGCTCACTCACCAAGCGGTGGTTAGCCTGGGCGCCCTTCTGCAATTGACCAGGAACCCCCACAGTCATTGGAAGATGAAAGAATTTGTGCGTATAAAGCACTTACTCACTATACTAAAGAGTCACACGCGGGCTGGGGGCAGTGGTGAAGGTAAGAAAAAGAAAACAGCAATGGGAACAGCTTCCCGCTTCACCCAGGCCAGGGCAACTCTAGGCTTTAGGCACTCGGGAGGCCGGTAACCTCCAGGCGGGGTCCGGACAGCGCCCACGCCTGGCCAGCCAGCCTAGGCAGGCCTAGACCAGCAGCTTACACCTGGCGGCGTCTGCCTCTGGGGCAGACACCGCCCTACGCCCCCGCTCCAGCGTCTCCCAAGCGGGTGGGTGGGCTGAGGACGCAGGCGACAGGGACTGTGACCTACGGCCGAGCCCAGGACGCTTGGCCCTTTCGGGTTCCGCCTACTGTTCTGGGAGACCTGGCTGGGCAAGTTCCCAGAGGCGTCTCAGTCTTAGCCTTGCTCCCCCGCCGGCCAGGGGCTCTGGAAAGGGTCTCGCGGCCTCCATCCCCACCCCCTCAATATCTAGAAAGGCTAAGAAGTTAAGACTCCCCTAGGAATGGCCGGCCCACGCGGACACACGCACACGCGGGAGTCGTTGAAAGTTTCAAACAACAGGAACCCGTCCTACCGCCCGGGCCAGTTAGTCGCGGTGAGCCAGGTCTCGCCTCCTGCCGCCTCTCCCACCCTCAAATGTCCCTGGGGTCCGGCAGTGTCTCCACTCGGCCCCGGCTCTCACCTGCTGCAGCACCTTGTCAAGTGGTTCGGCCCGCGCCAGGCTGTCGGCGCTCAGGCCACTCGCCTCGCGGCACTGAGGGCTCAGGGCGGGCGCCTCGGCGCGAATCAGTGACTTGTGCAGCGTCCCCACCTGCGAGCGGCGGGGGAAACCGATTAACCACTGCACTCCTCGGGCGATAAAGCGCGCCGGAGACCCCACCACCCCTTTCCCACCCTACCTGTCGGCTCCGCAGCTCCACTACTTGCCACACTAACAGGATTAAGTCGGTCTCGTCGGAGCCAAGATCCGGCCCCAGGGCACCGGCTGTGGCCCCAAACAATACGACCAGAAGTCCAGGCTCTGGGTGGGGGTCGGCGGCAGAGTCTGGGGCAGGGTTCGGGCCCAGGGACGGTGGCTGGGGTGGCGGCGAAGTCATGGCCACAGAGGAGGGGGGCGCTCGGCCACACACGCGCGGACCGACGAGGCGCACGCACCGACCGTCGGCAGACGCGGATCAGCTTGGGCGGGACCCTGTGTGTCGGAGGCGGCACCTGCGGCCCGGCTGGAGCAGTGGGCGCTGCCGAGACCCGCCCGCGGCGCCCGACGAGGCGGGGCAGCTACCAGCCCCAGCCCTCTCTGGGCGAGATACCTGTCGGGCCCCGCGGGCCACGTGACCGAGGGCGGCCCTGGGAGCTATGGAGGAAAGGACGCTTAACCTACCCCAGGACGCGCGCTCACACGCGCCCCGGCTGGGCGCGCACTTAGGGTCCAGCCTCCCACTCCCCCAGCCGACTGATTTCTAGGGCGACCTCCACCTCCTCCTCCTCCGCCAACCATAAGGCCTCAGCCCAGAAAAGGGCAAAAGCAGAGGCCTTTTCTAATCCTCAGGGTCGCCCTAATTCACTCCTGTGAAAATCGCCAGGAGTCAGAGGCCGTGGGCGCCGCGACAGTTGGTCTGGGGGTGACAGAAGTCATCAAAGGTCAACGGGGGCGGTTACGGAGTTAGCAGGTATCACCCAGGGGCCTGTGGGAGGATCACCTGAGGTCATTAGAGCCGTGGGGAGTCATTAGAGGTCACAGCAGGGCTTGTCCATACAGGTGGGAAGGCCAGACCTTAGCCTGGCTTCTAGGAAGTGCCCGCAGTGCCAAAGCGCGTTCAGAGAGGTGCACAGACCTTAGCACTGCTGCTTCGGAAGGGAGAGGCGGACCCCCACCCCTCGCCCCAACTCCAGAGAGCGGCTAAGCAGGATGGCCCGGGCCTGGAGCCTCACCCCTATGCCACATGGGAACTCCAGCCTGTTTTTGTCGCCCTACCCCTTTGACGATGGGCCTGTTGCCTAGAGATGTGAGCGCGATGGCGGATGGGGACTAGCGGCACATTGGTAATGTGATCTTGCGAGCTGCAAAATCCGTCGGGGGACCAACATCCTAATTCGGACAGTCCCACGTGGACGGCTCCCAGCACCCTTTCGCCCCGTCGATCTTGGTGAGGCTCCTTTATGGCGCATTTCTGGGCCGCCCCGGAATTGCCCAAATTGTCCCATTTATGTGACTGAGAAACTGAATAAGAATCCGGCGGGAAGAAGGGACCCCATCCTGGCGGGAACAAAGACGTGGGGGTTGCCAAGCCCGAGCCAAAACTGAGGCGGAAGCCTCACCTCGCGATTTCGTAAAAGCAGGGAGCTGCGTCCGGATCTTCGGACAGAGAAAGAGCCCGGACTGGAGGGAGCCTTGTCCACTGAACCCACACTTCAGCTTGTCCCCATCTGAAGGATGTATAAAGGCTGAGGCGCCGGGGCGGAAGTGACTCCCACCGAGACACGGCGGCCTGGAGGGAGTGGGAAGTAGTTCTTCCAAAGGCTTCGGGAGACCAGCGCTTCCCCCTGGGGTGTAGGCTTGTGTCCACGCGCTGCTGCCCCTCTCTGGACCGCCCACCCCGGACTGTCGCTTGTCCCCACCCACGGAAGAGCCAAAGCCAATCAGGCCGGGGATGGGGAAACGTACGGGCCTCGCCCCACCTCCAGATAAGCTTGGAATGTCAAATATTTGGTCGCCGGGTTGGGCGGAACCAGGTAAGGCTCCTCCCCCTCCCCCCTGGAGCGCGCTTGCGCCAAACGGAGTTGGGTCTTTCCTGGATCCCCTTCACCCCAGCAGCATCTCTGGATCCCGGCTCTCCTGAAACTCCTGGCTTACACTGTTCCTTGTGGAGCTCTTTCTTATCTGGGCTGCTCCTACAGGACAGAACCCTGGCGCCCCCCGCGGGCAGTCCTGGCGCTGCTTGATTTCTATCTCACCCACCCCAGTGCCCTCCTGAGTTCAACCTCTTAAGACCCCGCTAGGCCTTTCCCTATTCTTCAGCACGGATTTCCAGCCGGCGCCTCCCGGAAGCCTCCGGCTCGAGGCGACTGCTTTCTCCAGTGAGGTCTCTCTGGCGGTTCTAAGAGCCAGGGCACTCCCACTGGAGAGCCCTTCATGCGTATCCAAGTATTGTACCAACTGGATAGTGATCCCGAGGCAAGGGACTGGCATCGTGGGGCAGCCCCGCCAAACGCCCTTATCTCTCTGTCCCATCGTCCCCACCCGCATGACAATTTACTAGGCTTGAGATCTCCTTGAAAAATTCAATTTGTTACATAAACTTAGAAGACAACTGTAATTGAACAACAATAAAAAATTAATTAATTAACCTTAGGGACCTGCTTTGCTGAGCTCTCTTACTCATCTTCAGGTGGGGCCTCCCAAATCACCCCATTAACACTGAACAACCCCCACTTCTCTCCATTTGGCTCGCACATTTCTTTCCCCCCTCCCCCGCACTAAACCAATTTCTAATCCAGGTAGTAAATCATTTATTGTTTCCCTGCCCTAGCCCCCACCCACGAGAGCACCAGATCCTTGAAGACAGGCTGTCTCCAGTGCTTATCACTGGGCCTGGGGCATACAGTTGGCCCTCCCAAATCTCGGTTCTGTATCGGTGGATTCAACCAACCGAGAATCAATTTTTTGTTTTCATTCCAGAAAGCTGAGCCCTGAACAGTACAACAGTTGTTTACATATCATTTACATCATTTTAGGTATTATAAGTAATCTAGATGTGGCTTAAAGTGTAGGTCAGGGAGTGCCTAGGTTATATGCAAATATTATACCATTTTATGTAAGGGACTTGAGCAGTGGCAGAATTTTGGTACGAGGGCATGGAACCAATTCCCCCAAGATACTTAGGGAGCATTATAGTTGCTCAAGACTTAATAAATCAATGGTTGAGCCCTGGTGGGGTGGGTCAGTTGGTTGGAGGGTAGTTGGGGGTGGTGGAGGTGTTGTAGGTTTGATTCCCGGTCCAGGCATGTGCCTAAGTTCCCCGGGCATATGATCAATTTTTCTCTCTCACATGGCTGTTTCTCCCTCCCTCTAAAATCAAAAGCATCTCCTTAGGTGAGTATTAAAAATAATAAGAAATGAATGGTTGTCTTGCTTGTCTGCCTTCAAGTATTCCAGGGACACTGACCTTCCCTGGGGCCAAAGGGCCTTTGCACTAGTTTTGCTGTCTTTACTTCCCTTGCAACTCACCCTTGCCCTAGTTAACTCCTGCTTTTCCTCCAGATTTTCCCCTTCCAAGGCACCTCCTTCCATAGCAGAGATCCCTTCTATAGTTTGAAATGTCTGTATTTCACTGATAAATGCCCTTCACACCCACTAGGATTCACAAATTATGAATGAATGAGTGAATGAATGAATGAATGGAGATAAGGTATGCAAGAGGGGTGAGTGAGGCTCCAATGGTCCTGCCAGATGCCTTTCCCAAATCATACTCCAGGTATTAGTGAGAAAGGAATTTGATTCCACCAGAGGGACCTCATACTTGCAGAATCTCATCTTCACCTCACTTCTTCGTGGCAGGACTCGAGGGACAGTCCTACCACGAAGGCAGTGGGTGCTCCAGCCATTGGTATGGACAGATACCAGGATGGAGAGCCATGCCTGGGGCGGGAAGTGTTGCTGTTCTTGTGGACCTCCGGGGAGCCTAGGAATGGTGTAAAACCCCGCTTCACCCTCCTTCCTTCCTGCTGTGGGAGAGGGCTTGATGTTAGGTGCTTGCTGGTGTCCCCTGCAGTGATCCCCACTCGCTGTGCTAGACCCATCTCCACTTTCATCGTCCTCCGGCTGGGCTGGGTCACCCTTCGGTATCTCCCCTGCCTCCAGAGGAGCACGAGTTCTGGCCTCCCCACGAGTTCCCGTCTCTGCCCCTTTTCCCCACTAGAGGGCGCACTGATCCTGTCGCTTGATTTTCCTGTTGGGTTCAGGGAAGAGAGCTGAAGGGGGAAAGCCCTTGACACCACCTCCTAGGTCGCTACCTTAAGGCTTGGGAATATTGGAGGCTTCGGGCTCCCTGGATACAGGCCACTTTTTTTGAAAGTTGCTTTGGGGTAAGGGTATGCTCAGGAGGTCTTAGTGGGGGGTGAGGGGGACCCCTTCCTTTTCACCATCAGGGGCTTCTGTGTGACATGGCCTGGCCCTGCAGCTGGTGGCGATGCCCAGATCCTGGCTGTCCCGGTTCTTGCGAATCGTGCGCCAGATGCTGCCCAGGGTGGCCCTCACATAGGAGCCGACCGGCTTTCATTGGCTGGATTTCTGCTTCCTGACAACCACCATGCCTTTGTCCTGCATGCTAAGTTCCCTGCCAGAAGACCCTGTTTTCTTGACAAACTCCTACTTATTCTTCAAGACCCATCTCTGATTCTTCCTCCAGTCAGCCTTCCTTGACGCCTAGGTCAGGTTTAATGGCCTGTTCTGGGCCCCTTTTCCCCAGGATTCTGTAATTACTGGGTCAGTGTTTGGCCTCTCATGACTCCAGGGGGGCTGTGGCAGCAGAACAGGAGCCTGCTGAGCTGCAAGCTTCAGGAGAATAAGTTGACCTCCAAATAGGCTCACTTCTGGCTACCACACCAGCTCAGAAGCCCTGGTCTTGATTGGGTTGCCCCAAGCTCTGATTCCCACCACTTTACATAGGGGAGCTTACAGCTGGGGGAAGGGTGAGGGAATGCAAAGGGCCCAGTATCACAGGAGGGTGAAGGTTGTTGGCTGGACTTTCACCAGAGGAAGACAACACAACTGGCCTGGCTCTTCTGTCTCTGGGTTTATTCTTACACCTGGCCTTTGCCCAGAATGTCCCCCTGCACAGGAACACCCTCCCCCTTTCCTAGTCTTTTCTAGAACTCACATCTAGCCCTGTGTACCTCTCAGTCACTTTTCTCCTTCTCCAGGTCTGAGAGGCATCAGGACCCTATCCTGGAATGGGGGAAGGTTGTAGAGAAGGGGGTGAATCACTCATTCATTCAACATATGTTAGAGGACTTCCGCCAAGATGGAGGCGTAGGTGGAAGCACTGCACCTTCTCGTACAACTAAGTTTAAAAACAACAAAGTTTTAGCAACAAAAACACAGCCAAACCACAGAAAATTGAACTACATGGAAGTCTGACAACAACAAACCCTTCAGCCAAACCGGTAAGAGGGGCAGAGCCAGCAGCAGAGCGGGTCGGGCAGGAAAGATCCACCGGACCGACCCAGGCGCCCGACCCAGGCGCACCAGCAGCCGTGGGCGGGTCCCAGGTGTGGAGTAGTGGTTGGACCCACTGAGGGCTGATCGCGGACACACATTCGCATGCAGATAAACTGGTGAAGGAGCTAGCAGTGGGACAGACTGCGCAGGCCCCAGCGGCAGTAAGCAGCAGAGGGAACCATCACTGTCCCTCTCTGACCCCGCCCCCACATACAGCGTCACAAACCAGCAACCTGGGTGGCCCCGCCCTGGTAAACAATGAAGGATCCGCTCCTCATACGTTACAAGCACGAACAGATCAAAACATGGCTCAAGAACAACTCAGAGCCCCAGAGCTGATAAATCTAAGCGATGAAGAAATAGCCAAACTTTCAGATGCACAATTCAAAACACTGGTGATCACGATGCTCACAGAACTGGTTGATTTTAGTCACAAATTAGAGGAACATATATATGAAGGCTAAACTCATTGAAATGAATGGAAATACACAGGAAACCAATAGTGATGGGAGGGAAACTGGGACTCAAATCAAAGGAGTGGACCAGAAGGAAGAAAAAAATGACCAAACAGGAAAGGATGAAAAAACAAGAATTCAAAAAAAAAAAAAAAAAAGAGGAGAGGCTTAGGAACCTCCAGGACATCTTTAAACGGTCCAACATCCGAATTATAGGGGTACCAGAAGGGGAAGAGGAACAGCCACCAGTGGAAAACTTATTTGAACAAATAATAAAGGAGACCTTCCCCAATCTGGCAAAGGAAATAGACTTCCAGGAAATCCAGGAAGCTCAGGGAGTCCCAAAGAAGTTGGACCCAAGAAGGAACACACCAAGGCACATCATCATTACATTAGCCAAGATGAAAATGAAGGAGGGAATCCTAGAAGCAGCAAGAGATAAGGGGACAGTCACCTACAAAGGAGTCCCCATCAGACTGTCAGCGGATTTCTCAAAAGAGACCTTACAGGCAAGAAGGGGCTGGAAAGAAGTATTCCAAGTCATGAAATCCGAAGACCTACAACCAAGATTGCTCTATCTAGCAAAGCTTTCATTAAGAATGGAAGGGCAGATAAAGTGCTTCTCAGATAAGATCAAATTCAAGAAGTTCATCATCACCAAGCCTTTATTATATAAAATGTTAAAGGGACTTACCTAAAAAAAAAGATGAACTATAAGAACACAGGAGGGGCAGACCAAAATGGTGATTAGGTTCATTGAGGGAATGACTGGGAGAGACTGGAAATGGTCAGTCACCGACCAAAAGGAAGGAAGGAGGGGAGAGGGGAAGCACAGAGGTCTTGTGACCAGCTGACCAGGGTGTGACTGACCCTTGGGAGGGAGTATGTGGAGGATCAAAACCTCCAATTTCCAAACATATGGTCCAGCTCTCCCAGAGTGTTATGTGGTGCTGGTATATTACCGGCTGTTAAGTTTCTACCCATTCTGTTTGCCCTGGTAGTTTGCGCTGGGAGTCTGGATCCTCAGGTTTGCGTGTGCTGGGAGGTCCCAACACCCCTCCCGCTCTGCTGGGGCAGAGGGCTAATACTTTATGGCGCAGGGTCAAGGCCCAAGCCCACTCTCAACCCTACCCGCGAACTGCTCCCTTTGTCAAGGTGACTTCATATTCCGCGCCCCTAAAAAGGGACAAACGTCTCACTCAGAATCAAAATATGCTGACTTGGCCTCTCTCCGCCCCATCCTAACTCCGGCAGAAGGTTGCCTGCCTGGGGCGGGGTTGCCTGAACACCCCCAAGTGCTTTCTGGGCAGGATGCGAAGAACCCATGTAGGGGATTGCGCAAAGGTCCTGGTCAGCTCCGGTCCCCCGAAGGCCCCCAAAGTGCCTCACGCTTACTTTCCTTCTTCCCCTTGCTTTGACCGGCGTCGCCCAGCCGTCCTGAGCACTGGACCATGAGTCGCCGCTCAGTTAGGCTCGTTCCACATTCTAGGTCAGGTAGGAGCCAGGAATTGGGGGTGAGGGCTGCGCAGCGTGCGCGTCGAGTACGCAGGGTTGGGCTAGGCAGCCAGCAGCTGCGAGCTGGGTCGTGCGGAGAGTTTGGAAGCCAAGCTGAGCCCAGGTCGATCGATGCGCTCGGCTCGCAGCGCTGTCGAGGGAGCTAGTCCGTCTGGGAGGGTCCGGGGCGGAGCTGCCAGCTCCGACTGGGCGCGACAGGCTGGAAGCGAGTCCTCATTGGCCGGTCGTTTGCAGGAGGTGGGTATTTATTGGCCTGATCGCTGTGGAGGCGGAGAGCGGTGGGGTTAAGCGCGTCGCCGCGGCCGGCCTAGGCACGAACCTGGAGCTCTGAGTCCGCACAGGGATCTGGACCCTCCACCTCACGCCATGGGTCCCCATCTCTGTCCTTACCGCGCAGCCCTGCTACCGGGCAGCCTCCTGTTCCTCCTGCTGCTCTCAGACCCGGCGCTTCCAACCGGACGTTCTCCCCCGGTGGTCCTGGGTGAGGCGCGCGTCCAGTCGTGGGTCAGGCAGGACAGGGTGCGGGGAAGAGGGAGACTGTCTTCTCGATTTGCAAATGCTCTAAGCATGCGGTGGAGGAGGTATGACTGAGTTGTCACCTGGCTGGGTCCGTGCATCTCCCGCCATACTGGTCGTGGGAGTGGTCACCCTGTCTGTTACCTTCCCCTATAGAATATGGAGGTAAGTAGGAGGGTTACCGTGCCCGTGGTACATCGGTCTGCCTGTCCACATAAGTCCCAAACCTTGCCTCACCTTATCCCCATTTTTTTAGGTGGAAAGACCAAGGCCCTTTGACCCCACTCCTGAGGACCGTTTCGGGGGCAGGGCGGCCTCGGAGTTGGCCCGCAGGGTCCTTAACGTTGACTTGGGCTTGTCTATTAAGCTGTTTCCCTGGACCCCTTCAGCCTCACAAGTTTTAGAGGGCATTACTGGAAGGAAACTCGTTGGGGAAAGGATTGCTATCTTACTCTGCCACCAGGGCTCCCCCGCGACTTGTCAAATGGGTAGCATTGAGTCTGAGGGAGGAGGCCCTGAGGAATCTGACGATGTCTAAAGACAGAGGTAAGCCCTGGCTGGTGTAGCTCAGTGGATTGAGCACCGGCCTGTGAGGCAAAGGGTTGCTGGTTCAATTCCCAGTCAGGACACATGCCTGGGTGGCAAGCCAGGTCCCCAGTAGGGTACACTTGAGAGGCAACCACACATTGATGTTTGTCTCCCACTCTTTCTCCTTCCCATCTCCTCTCTCTGAATATAAATAAATAAAATATCTTTAAAAAACACAGAGGTAAGAGGTGGGACACGCTGGGTACGAGCAGATGTCAGGAACCATGCCTATACTCACATCCTTCCAGACCCTCTGGAACTGAACTATGTTGGGACTAGGTGACCTCTCCTGCTTCCCCATTTCTTGGTCCTGACCCCTGGCAACTGTACGGGAGTCACAGTGTTTCCTTGTGCTGGTGGGCAGGGATGAGGCATCTGTCTGGGGGACCTCAGATGCATCAAGGCAGGCTGTCACTGCCACCCAGAGCTACTGTGTAGGTGACCAGCCGGGACTCCTGAAGGTCGAGGCATGCCGAAGTGCACTGAGTCTGCACGATCCCCATGCTCTCTCTTTTTCTCTTTCTTTCTTTCTTTCTTTCTTTCTTTCTTTCTTTCTTTCTTTCTTTCCTTCCTTCCTTCCTTCCTTCCTTCCTTCCTTCCTTCCTTCCTTCCTTCCTTCCGATTTTATTTATTTATTTTCAGAGAGAGGGGAAAGGAGGGAGAGAGGGAAAGAAACATTGATCAGTTGCCTCTCATAAGCCCCCAGCTGGGGACCTGGCCCATAACCCAGGCATGTGCCCTGACTGGGAATCAAACCAGCAACCTTTTGGTTCTCAGGCTGGCACTCAGTCCGTTGAGCCACACCAGCCAGGGCCCCGTGCTCTTTCTACTGGGAGTATTTTAATGGGGATGATGCTGATCACAGAAGTGTAAGGTTGGCCAATACTTTGGTCCCAAAGGGTCCCCCAGGAGCTCTGAGACAGTAAATGCTTCGGAAGGATGCTGGGCCCAGGTTAACTGTAGGAATTGGGTAGACTGGGCCCTGCCTTCCCTAAGCTTGCAGGATGATCCTCAGAGATGAGGTTTGTGCTGGGCAAGCACAGAAAATCCACTGATGCAATCTGGGAAGGCTTCCTGGAGTAGGCAGCTGGAGCTGTGGCCAGGAGAGATCTAGGCAGAGGGAACTACAAATCAGAGGGAGGGTGGGAGGGTGGCCAGGGTGTCTGGAATAGAGTAGTGGAGATGGGGAAGTAGGGGAAAGTGTATTGTGCAGGCTTGTGACTGATTGGGTCATTTGGACTTTTATCCTAGGGGCCTACAGGGAATCTTGTGTAGGCCTAAGGAGTTCTCAGTAAAGGGGTGTGGCAATGGGAAGTTGTGGTCTGTGAAAGGCATCCAGCCTTTTCTTCTGGATTGGTGCTAACTCATTAAGTCATTCATTCTTGGTTATCCTAGGTCAGAGCAGAGGAGCCTCAGGCCCTACCCAGGGTTGCAGAGCTACTGGAATCTTAACCTGTCCAGAGAGTGAGGCTCTTGGCTTTAGTCCTAGGAAACCACACGGCTCACAGTGGACAAGCTGTTCTTGGTCACAGATCAGCAATCTGAGTGTGACAAGCTTCTATGGGTGGGACTCAAATCCCTGATGGAAGCAGAGGCCAGAGAAGCGACACAGAAGAAGACCCTGGACAGGGGGAAGGGACTGTAGTAAGCATAGGTTGCCTCTCCCAGCCTCAAGTCTCCTCGCCTGCAAAGTAGGCATAATAAGGATGTTCGTCTCCAGTGTTACTTGCGGTGAAAGGCACGTGGATGGCTGTTGTCCTAGTTCTAGGCACAAGGGCTCAGGAAGTGACCACTGCTATTTTTAGAGGGCCCCACACAGCCTGAGCAGGGTGAAAGGCGTCCAGGCAAAGGGGATCTGGTGACTTCCTCTTTTGGCCATTTCCTTTGGTGGAGACTGGGACCAGGGTCTCTGCACTCCCGAGTCCAGCTCATGGATATGTCATCCAAAGGCTGTAACGCTGGGGGTCCCCTACTTCTGCACCCACCTCATGCAGGGGGGTGAAGGCCAGTGCGACAGCTGTGTCCTGTGGCTGCCCTAAGGACACTGCGCTGGTACACAGAGAGTGCATGGCCTCCGCAGGGCTGGGTTCAGAGTCTGAGCCCAGCGAGTGCCCAGGAGTGCCAGCACTGGTTGTTCAGTCAGTGATCATGAACCCTAAATGGGGATGCACGTGGCAGGTGTTGAGAGCATGGTGTGTGGGAGCAGTGAGGCCTGGGAAAGGTCACTTGGAAAAGCTTTGAATGTTGGGCAGGAAAGCAATGGGGATAGGATTGAGTGTCACAGGGCCCCCCAGGGCTTTGAAGATTCAATAGGTTGGTTCAGATAGAGATAAGTTATCCTTGAGGCCTGGTCTTCCTCACTCCTCACTGGGCTGTGGCCAGAATGGTGCGTTGTTTCAGGGTAGCCATCTCCAACTCTTGGCCCTGGTATGCCCGGATGCTAGGGCCCTCCACAAGATCTGCCCTTTGGAACCTTACCGGGCTCTGGCCTTTAGCACAGCCTGGAGACCTCGGTGGGTCAGCAGGTGCCAGTATGAGCTTCTTTCAGTGCTGTTTCTGTTCATTGCCTTCCTCCACAAGCCTGTCTTGGAGTGTTTTCTCTGGATTCACTTTTGGCTGGTTAGCAGCACAGTGCTCTGTCCCATTTGCCACCCCAGTCAGAGTGAACCAGGCCCTGCCGACTGTAGCCCGGGATGTGCAGAGATGGTGAAAGACCTGTGGGTTTAGGCCTTGAGGGTCTCCAGCCTGTCAGGCTCAGGACCTCATGCATGCTCTGTGCCCTGATACAGTGCCTGGTGATCTGGGCAACCAGCTGGAGGCCAAGCTGGACAAGCCGAAGGTCGTGCACTACCTCTGCTCCAAGAAAACGGACAGCTACTTCACACTCTGGCTCAACCTGGAACTGCTGCTGCCTGTCATCATCGACTGCTGGATCGACAACATCAGGTGGGGAGCTGGGGCCCACACCGGGTGCTGCTCACCTAAAACTCAACCTAAAGAGACCTCCAGAGTCCATTTCCATCACATTCCCACCTCAAGAGACCTCAATGGACAGGCCTTTCTCCCTGTCCATTTTCTCAGTCTGGTTGGCTCCACCTTTGCGTTCTCCCAACCAGAACTTTCTTCCGTCTCCTCCTGCTCTGTCCCTACCCTCCGCAATCCACACCTTGTGCTCAGCACCCTCCCTTCGGTTCCTAAATTCCAGCCCCTGTCTATAGCCTTAACCAGGCCCACGCCCCAGCCCTTGCTTCCGGCTGGGCCACACCTGCCCCTCCAGCTGCTTGTTCTCCATGGAATGCCATGTCTCCAGGCAGATGCTGTTCTTTCAGCCTGGAATCTATCTTACACCTTTTGCCTGATAAATTCCCTCCATTCACCTTTTAAATCCAGAGCCAGGTCCCTCTAACACTCGTCAAACCTTATTTCTAAGGATGTTTCCCAATAATAGGAATTACTGCTTATTGAACAGACACTGGACATTTTACGTACTTTCTTTCACTTAGTCTTATAGCAACCCTCCGAGAAAGATGTGCTGTTTACAAACCTGTGTTATAGAATAGGATACCTACGATCAGTTACAAAATTGCCGGGGTCACTCGGCTAATAAGGGGCAGGGCCAGGATTCAAACCTAGAGTCCTGGGACCCCGAGCTAAGTTCCCCCTCTCAGGCTGAGCTTCCTGAAGGCGGAGACAGTGTTTCTTTTATTTTCGTAGCAGTGGAACCTGGAACACACAGCTGGTGCTCAATGAACGGGATGAGTGGACTCTAACAAATTAATGTGTTTTTTCTGGGAGATGCACTCGCTGTGTGTCCAGGCCCTCTGCCCATCCCTTTTGTTCGAGGTTCCTGCTGGGTTGACTCTCTTCCTCTGGTGTGTTTGTCACCAGAGTCACTTCTGGGCTGTTGATCTGCGTTTCTATTTTTGTACCAGAGAGACAGCCTCAGTTACTACTGGTCAGAGTTGCAGACTGATGATGCCAAGAGGGGCTTGTCTCCCTTCGTCGCTCCCCTGACCTGTTCAGACTTTCGTCCAGCACAGAGCTGCCTTGGCTCTCCCGAACAGTTTTCTGCACTTTGCTAAGTGGCCATCGGGATAGTCTACAGCTTGCCCTTGAGAGAGTAGGCTACCAGTACCTATTATTTGGGTCAATGTTAGGAATCCTGGCAGCTTTCTGTGGCTGATCTTTAAGGCCAGGTGGAATGCAGGACCACCAGGGACTGCTTGTCAAGCCCGCGTTTCCTCAGGCACATTTGCGTCCTTGGTATCGGGGAGGCCAGAGTAGGGCTCCTGGTTGGCATAAGGCTCCTCCTGTCTCCCACCGCCCCTTTCCCGTCATTTCTCCAGGCCTTGTCTGTGCCCCCACACAGCAGCCACTGAGGTGGGGAGGTGTCTCTGCCTGGTTCGGTTGTGTGTTGCTGTCACCATCTCCTTTGCCCTGTGGTGCATTTGGTGGGTGGCAGGAGCTGGGTCCGTAGTGATGGAACCATGGGAGGCTGCAAAGTTAGGCTGTTTTCTGGGGTCAAGTGTAATGTTCGTGGCAGAGCCAGGCCTGGTACATCCCTCTCCCGAATAGATCTAAGACCTGCATTCTGGGGTGGGTGATCCCACTGAGGAGAGGGGTCCTTGGGTCAGTCTTTAGAATGACCCTTGGTGGGGGGGGGTCCATAAATTGCCTTTGTTTTGTGGGAGAGAAACAAACTTTCCTCCACTCTCAAGGTTCTTTTGGCTGGCCTAATAATCAAATAGACATGAGACATATTAGCAAGATAAAATAACCAAACTTAATACAAACTTATGTATGGGAACCCCACATGCATGAGAGAGTCAGAGACTCCCACGTGCAAGAGCGGTGCAGAGACAGAAAGCAAATGTGGGTACGTAAGACATTCTGAGCTAGAGTTGAGGTGCCTGGGCTTCCGTGGGTCATTACAGAATGATAAGAAGAACAGGCGTTTGGTAAATGGAAGTTGGCTTTCCCACAGAATGGTGGGTCAGAAAGAAATTATTGCTGATCGGCCCTGGCTGGTGTGGCTCAGTGGATTGAGTGCTGGCCTGTGAACCAAGGAGTTGTTGGTTGGATTCTCTGTTGGGGCACATTCCTGGGTTGCAGGCCAGGTCCTCAGTGGGGGGTCGCAAGAGAGGCAACCATGCATTGATGTTTCTCTCCCTCTCTTTCTTCCTCTCTCCCCCTCTCGAAAAATAAATATAACTTAAAAAAAATAAGTTATTGCTGATCATCTCTAATGGTGGGCAGGGCCCCTAATTCAAGTTCTAGGTAGTTAAAGGGAGGGGCAGAAGTTTCCCTTGAGCCTGAAGCTAAAATTATCCTTAGCTCAAAATAATCCACAGACACAATCTCAGATGACTAGCTCCGAACCCCCACAATGACTTTTTGGTCTCCCTTATACAACTGACTACCCCTGAGGGTGGGCAGGGAGTGTGGCTCAGGGCACGGAGCAGGACTGGGACACACCCAAATGCAGTGCAAAGTCTCAGTCACCAGCTCAACATCCCTTCCCTACAGGCTGATCTACAACAGGACGTCCCGGGTCACCCAGTTTCCCGATGGTGTGGATGTGCATGTCCCCGGCTTCGGGAATACCTTCTCCCTGGAGTTTCTGGACCCCAGCAAAAGCAGCGTGGGTAGGTAACCCTTGTCGTGCTCTCCAAGGAATGGGGCTGGCGGTTCTGCTGGACGGGAGTGGGAGGGGCCACTCGGTTTGAAGAGGTAGCTTGTGGACTGTCTCTGATCAGTGTGAGCCAGAGTGCTCCTGCACAAACCTCGCTGCAGACCTCACAGCCTCCTCGGCAGGTGTGGTACATGTGGCCGGCACTGGCTGTACCCTCTCTGATCCTATGACTTGTGTCTACAGGTTCCTATTTCCACACCATGGTAGAGAGCCTAGTGGGCTGGGGCTACACACGGGGTGAGGATGTCCGAGGAGCCCCTTATGACTGGCGGCGAGCCCCAAGTAAGTGGTCGCTCTCGTTTCCTCCCTGAGGTCTTGGGAGGTGGGGATGAGAAGGCCACAGCCACCGCAGGCCCTGGGCTGTCCCCCACCCCTGGGCCAGTGGCATCTAGCCCAGTAGTGACACTGGATGTGACCTATCACCCCTGGCCAATCTGTCCTGCCCCTCCCCATCCTTCACCCCAAGATTTCTGGGCCTGTGAGCCCTGGGGAGAGATGAATCTGAGGAAGAGGAAAGAAGCCCCTTAGTTTCCTGCCTTCACTGACGCTGAGGGGAAACCAGGCCACTCCCACTTGGGGTTTAGCGTTCTCCCCACCCACCTAGTCCTGGGGCTGGCCTGAGAATCGGTCAGTGGTTCAGGCCCCGGGACCCTTCCTGCCTGACTCCTGCCTGGCTCTGGCCTGCAGATGAAAACGGGCCCTACTTCCTGGCCCTCCGGGAGATGATCGAGGAGATGCACCAGCTGTATGGGGGCCCCGTGGTGCTGGTCGCCCACAGTATGGGCAACATGTACACACTCTACTTTCTGCAGCAGCAGCCACAGGCCTGGAAGGACAAGTATATCCGTGCCTTTGTGGCACTGGGTGCGCCCTGGGGGGGCGTGGCCAAGACCCTGCGCGTCCTGGCCTCAGGTAAGAGACCTGGTCTGGCTCAGCGTGGGGGGGCTAATACTGGGGGTGGCACCCTCTCTTTCCCTCTACAGTGTTCTCCTGGGGGACCCTTCTTTCTCCAGAATGGTATTCTTTTCTAAGAAATGTCACCTCTCTACTTAGTGACCCTTGTTATCTGCGTAAGTTTCTTAAACAAGTACAATTCATGGAGTGGCACAGCTCTTGGTCCTACAGGTACTCGCGTGTGCACATGTGTACATACTGCGCTCAGGGCTGGCCGGCTCTACTTGGCATGACCCAGAGTTCTTTGGGGGAGCCTTCTCCCTCTCTCCCGTCCCCATCCTCACCTTTCAGTCCCCATCTTTTTCCCAGAGAAGGAAGGCTGCACTACAGTTTCCTGCTTATGACTTACAGCTGCCTGTGTAGCAGCCAGGAGCTTCTGTGGCAGCACAGGGAGGAAGCAGGTACAGATCTGTTTGGGCCTGCTTGCTAGAGAGTTGGGAAAGTCACCTTTTCCCCCCATTCTATTCCGCCCCAATCCACCTGCCTTTTCATGGCTGTCAGAAGCTGCCAACTGCTTCCACAGGGCTTTGCTGCCTGTGCTAGGACTGGGTGTGAGCCCCACGGCCCCTCACTTGAGCAGCAGTGAGCCGGGGTGGTGCCAAGCATCCAATGAGCTTTCCTTTTCAAGACGCCGGTACTGCCTGACCTGCTTGTTGATCAGCTGGTCGCTGTGATCAGGTCAGACCCAGTGCCTCTCTCAGCAGTAACCCTGGGTTGGCTGGGCAGCTCCCCAGGAGTCAGAGCTTTGCCTTAGATGCTAGAAAACCTTCTGGCCCCAGCAGTCTGGGAGCAGCGTCGGCGTGGCAGGGAGAGCAGTCATGGTCCCCTAGGTAGAGGCTTCCGTTTCCTCAGGAGTCTGGGAGCCAGGTCCCAGCAGGCAGAGCTGTGGTCCCGCAGGCAGTCCCCCAGGGAGATAGAATGATGGGCAGCCATGGGTCCTGGGCAGGGCCTGAGGCTCCCGTTCCCAAGTTTCAGCTCACCCTTTGGAAGTTTCCCTGGCCTGTGGGCATGTTTATATTGTACTGTTGGCACTTGTGGGTGAGAAGGACTTGTGCTCTAGCCTACTGACTTCCCTTGTGTCTGAGCGCCTGGCTGCCCAGGTCAGTGACAGGCAGGTGGCTGATATGAGACCACGACTGGCTGGCTGCAGGTCTAAGCCTAGGCAAAGAAAAACGTTTGCATAGCTTAATATAATAAAAAAAAGAAAGAGAATTGTGCCTCTGGGCCGGCAACCTGCTGATTCACTTTTGATAAGGTCAGTGCCCACAGCGCCCACACGCCTTGTGGGTGTGTGTTGCCTAAGTCCCTGGTGACGAGATGCAGAAGGAAAGAGACAAGACTTGGGTGGGAGCTAGAGCAGAAGTAGAGGGAAACAGTAAGAGCTCGTGCAGCCGTGGGAGTTCTCATGATCACAGTGTAGAGATGTTGATGCGCGGCCCGGGCCACTGGCTGGGGTCCGGCAGGGGCCCTGGGTGTGGAGAAGCTCCCGGCCAGCCTGCATTCCCGAGCACAGACTGACTGGAGCCCTCTCCCTGCAGGGGACAACAACCGGATCCCGGTCATTAGTCCCCTGAAGATCCGGGAGCAGCAGCGGTCTGCCGTCTCCACCAGCTGGCTGCTGCCCTACAGCTACACCTGGTCACCCGAGAAGGTCTTTGTACGCACACCCACGGCCAACTACACGCTGCGTGACTATCAGCAGTTCTTCCAGGACATTGGCTTCCAAGACGGGTGGCTCATGCGGCAGGACACGGAAGGGCTGGTGGAAGCCACGCTGCCACCCGGCGTGCAGCTGCACTGCCTCTACGGCACGGGCGTCCCCACGCCAGACTCCTTCTACTACGAGAGCTTCCCAGACAGCGACCCGAAAATCTCCTTTGGTGATGGCGACGGCACTGTGAACTTGGAGAGTGCCCTGCAGTGCCAGACCTGGCGCAACCACCAGGAGCACCAGGTGGCACTGCAGGCGCTGCCAGGCAGCGAGCACATTGAGATGCTGGCCAATGCCACTACCCTCGCCTACCTGAAACGCGTGCTCCTTGGGCCCTGACTCCTGTGCCAGGCAGGGCTATGGGATGGCTTGGCCACAGCTGCTTCTCTTGGCCTCCGGGGCTGCTGCGGCCCACAGGTTTAGTGGTTTGGGACTGACCTTCCTAGGCCATAGGTCTTGGTTGTGAAACATCTGCCATCAGGAAGTGCTTTCTTACACTTTCTCTGGGAGTGAAGAAGGAAGAAATAGCCTGGACTCACTCAAGAGACTCCAAGGGAAAGAGTGCTGCTGCTGATGGAATCAGCGTGACCTCAGGACTGGCTGCACAGGTGGATTGGCTGGCATCTGGATCCAGTCCCCAATTCAGGGGCCATGTGTTTCTTCTGTTTCACATTTGCCCACCAGCCCCTGGCCCCTCAGACATCCTGTGAGGGATGTGACTGAGCCTTATGAGGGTCCCTGCCCCAGAGACCCCAGGGATGGGCTCCTGCTCCCTAGGTTGATCTTTCCCACACACTGGCCACAGGTGGTTGGAGCTGCTGGCTTCCCTGTGGCCCGGCTGCTCAACAGCCTGACTGTAGCTCTCTCGGGAGCAGCCTGGTTTCCCCTGCAGGCAGGGGTGGGTGGTTGTGTAGCCCGTGGTTCCCACGCCTTGGGGCATTCACTCCTACCTCCCTCATTTCCAAGAAGAGCCAAGCTCAGAATTGGGCAGCAGATGGCAACCCAGTTCTGCAGGCTGCGGCCCAGGAACTCTGATCCCCTTGGTTGGGTTATTGCCCATTGTATTGATGCTGGCTCCTTTTGCCCTGGGACTGTGCTTCGAGGTTGAGAGCAGGACTCAATGCCATGGTCTTTTAGATGCTGATGAAGAAAGAAAACTCAAGAGTGGGCCAAGGCAACTCAGAGCTTCACTGAACTGCCCTTTTGCTAATTCCACCACCACATTGCCACCCTACTGTAGGGTTTCCCTAGCACCCAAGTGGGCTGGCACAGGGCTGAGAGGAAGGGTTCCTGCCCATCTTGCCCAGCACCTACCTCTACCAGGCAGCTCAGTGGTGTTTAGTCTTCAGGGACTAGCTCAGAAACTTGAGTGGGCCCTTGTGAAGCCAGGTGCCTTGGAGCCCCTCTGTGGGTGATCTGTCTGCCTCAGAGATGCTGCGTGGGTCTTCCCGTCACAGCAGGGCTGGGGAGTCTGTATCCGCCTTGGTGGCGGGGCTCTCCAAGTGGGCCACAGCCAGAGGCCAAGACTTGGTTCTAGCCTCCAGAGTGGGGACCCAAAGCCACAGTCAGGCTGGAGTGGCTGCTCTCTCACAAGGGTTCTGTGGCACTGGATTTTCACTCTTGTGAACATACCCAGCATTTGTCTCTCCCTTTGTTCCTGAGTGGTGGGCCCCATATCGGGCTTTGAGCAGGCTGCATCTTGATTATGGCAATAAAAGTATTCTGGGTGCTGTAAAGTGCCCTGGCCTAGGCTACCCTCTAAGCATGAGAGGAGGGAGCTAGTGGAGAGGTTGGGGGATTAGAGAGGCAGGTAATCAGAGGCTAGACCTTTCCTGGAGCCTTGATGGGTTCTCTCAGCACCGGAGCGTGACTCTTATGCACCACTTTGGGCGTCATTCTGCTGCCCTTTTTCCCAGGACCCAGTTCCCCTCCTAGGACTAAAAACCAGGAACTGAAACATTCCCATTTGAATGCAGCTCCTGCTCCTGTCTGGTCATGGTCAGCAGGCTTCACATGCCACCCCAGATCTGGGAACCAGATACAATTCTACAGGTCATCCTGGCTGGACTCCCCTTCCCAGCTTCTCTCTCAGCTCGCAGGTCTCAGCATCCTTTGAACCTAGCATTCTTTTCAGGACACCACCCTTCCACTTTGTTTCAGCTCATCTGCCCACTGTCTGTCCTTTCTTGGGCACGGAGTGAGACTGAGGGAGGGAGAGATCAGGCTGAGGCTGGTATGGACAGAGACCAAGATGGGCAGATATGGACTGACAGACTCGGGCCACGTGGAAATGGACAAAGACAGAGAAATGGAGAGTCTGGTACTGAGAAACATGCATAGGGGTGGGGTCCAGGTGTGGATTCTGTGATGTGGAGCCCAGAGCCAGCCAGGGGGCCAGTTGGGATGGTGGGAGCTTCAGTTCCTGCCTCTATAGGGCAAGGCCAACCTGGGCCTCAGACTTTGATACATGCTAGGAGCCACTAGAGGGCGCGCTGAACCCTCTCACGGCCCTAGTTACTGGCCAAATCTGAAAGAAGCATTGGCCCAGAGAGGGTGAGGATGCCTAAGGATACAGAGGTCCAGCTGCTTCACTGACCTTGGTAGAAGGATGACAACATGAAAGTGAGCAAAGTATCACTCTCAGGCTCTGCCCAGCCTGACTCCCAGCTTTGCCCTGACACCCAGCCATCTATGCCACACCCGTGATGTTTCAGCCAAACTGCCACCCTTTGTTTCACAGCTGCAGAGAGGGCATGGGGTCAGAGCAGCTTCAGCAGTCACAGTGGACTGGGGTTCAACTCCGAGCTCTGCCACGTTCCTCAAAATAGCCCGTGGAGTCTCCTTGTTACCGGACAGGGATCGGACTGGAGCAGGTCTGCCTCGGGCCAGCCTGCAGTGTGTGAGTTCTTGACTTCATGTGAGGAAGATTTCACAACACAAGTGTAGGTGATGTTAAGCATACACTTATTAAAGCTGGGGACAGTGAAACAAGGAAGGCCTTAGGATAGAAGAAGCAACAGGAGAGAGCCTAGGTGAGGCTGCTCTGGCTCCCTAGAAAAGTTATGGGAAGGAAATGAACCAAGGTGGGGCTGCCTCCAGTTCATTGGAGAGTCAGAGAAAGGGGGGCCTTGGGAAGCCTCAGGTGAGCTGCTGCCGCCCATTGCTCCCCTGGTTACAAGTCTCATGTGTTCCCTTAGAGTTTAGAAGATGCATGCCTGTGGGGGAAGAGGAGGGAGAAGAGAGAGGTACAGGTGTGTTCCTGGGAGAGAGAGAGCCACATTGGGTCCTTCGGCTTGAGGATTTTAAAGGCTGGGAGTTGAGGGTGGCCTGGCTGCAGGCTGGGTGGCAGCACTGTGCTCGGCTAAGCTGGAACAGACTTGTGCTCTCCTTGCCGCCGCTCACCAAGGATGGAGATCCCACCCATCCACTGCCCAGGCTCCAGGGTGGCCTCGGTGGTACAGAACTGCGCCAACTACCATCAGGGGATGCCCCCTGCCCCGTGTGTTTCTGGTGCAGACAGTCAAACAAGCCAGCATGGAGGATATTCCAAGAAGACATCAGTACTGCCTTATATTTTCTGTGGAAGAAATGATACAAAAACAAGTGACAGCAAACTGCACGGCTGAAGTGCTTCTTCCTCCAGATACTGCCCCAGAAGTCACCTTTACTTTTGAAGGAGAAATTGGAAAGAGCCCAGATGAAGAAGATAACACATTTTATTAAAAACTCAAGTCCATGAAGGAAACACTAGAAGCACAAAATATTCCAGACAGTTTTGGAAATGGTATCTCCAGCAATGAAGCCAGTTCAACGTTTAACCTGGGTTGGCCATGATTATATAATATGGCAGAGTTTTACTGAAAACCCATGGTATGAAATGATAAAAGTTCAAACTGTCAGGCACGTGCAAAGAAGTGATGACTTCACTGAGTTAGACTACACCATTCCACTTCATGACATTGTGTCTCAGGAGATTATTTCTTGGCAAGTGCAGGCTCTCTGCCATTCACAGGATGGTACTAAAGGAAAACATTATAGCCATCTGTCAGAAAAAGCACAACTGGGAGAAACGAGGACCCTAATACCAGATGAAGTGTCAGTATGCCTGTTAATGGTGTGTCTGTCGGTCGCCATGCTATCTAGCCCAAGGGGCCAAATTCCTAAGTGTCACTTTGTATAAATGTCTTGGTTTGAGCACAGAACTGTATATCTTCCATAATAAAGAGTGTTGTGATGTAAAAGTGTCTTAATAGTGCTGTGCATATCACACAGTAAAAAGCTCCGATTTCGAAAGAAAGAAAGAAAGAAAGAAAGAAAGAAAGAAAGAAAGAAAGAGAAAGACTAGAGGTTTAGGTGAGGTCTTAAGGAGGAATCTCAATAGCTTGCTCATCAGCTTTTCCAGGTGTGTCCTTTCAAGGGTTATCATCTCCTCCAGTTGGCCCTAGAGCCTCCAGCCTGGTTTTACTGTTTTTCTGGGCCTGGAGGTTATCTCTAAGGAGGAAAGGTCAGGGAGTTCTAAGCTGCATAGCCAGGGGATATGCCAGAGAAGGACGGCCACCCTGGGGGCCAGGTCTGGCACCAGTTTTGCCTGTCACTAGGCCCCTGGGGCTTTCCACGCTGGTGATCTGTATCTGGCTGTATATTGCTTGGCCAGTTTGTTCAGCGGTCTCAGTTTCCCCATTCCACTTGTCCAGGAATTTTCCTGGCTTCTTACTATCCTACTTCATTCTGACCTCCCTGAGTCTCAGTTTGCTAATCCGCAGAATGGGGACGAACAGATGTACCCTGCAGGGTGGTCCTAAGGAACACTGCTGGTGTTGGAGGACATCCGGCTCAGTGCTTGGTGCATGGTGGGCTTTCAGCTGGTGGGCTGCTGTAACTGGTGTGAGACAGTGAGCCAGAGTCCTGGTGAGGCAGGCTAGTAAGCCAGGACAAGTGCAACGGGGAAACTGAGACAGTTAAAAGCCTAAGCAGTTTACAGCCATCCAGTAAATCAGAAAATCCTATTTTTCTCTAACTAAGGACACTTAGGAGTAAATGCTTAATGCTCCCCTCCCCCCATCCAGAGGGTAAATAGCTTAAATTACCCTACTCAGGGAGATAGATAGCAGAAATTCAGTTAGTGCCATTTGTGCCAACCATACCCAAGGACAGATGAAGTTAAGGGAATAAATCTCATTTTGGCATATCAGCATAAAGCTGATGAATATTCTATTGAGATCCTCCTCTAAACTCCCAGACTTTAGAACTCTCGGGGACCCAGGGCACACTCTCCCTTCCAGGAACAGACCTACACCTTTCTCCCCTTTCAGGACCGTATCACCTCAACTCTACAGGTCCCCAAGAGACTTGC